GGCGGGAGAGCGACTGGTTGTCTCGTCTAGGAGAGGACCACGTGTCCTTCAACATGGGAGACGAAAAAGAAGGGGCGAAATGGAGAGAGAGCGCCAAGGACCCGGAGGTGTGGTACAACAAGGTCGAGGACGGGGCGGCATGGTTCATGAGGAAATGGCACAGGCAGGAGACGGAAGCGTCCGCGAAGCGCCAGTGCGCGAGGGAAGCAGAGGCACAGAGTACGGCCATCTCAGGACCGAAGAGAAAGAGAGTCGGGGAAGCGGCGGTGGGGGGGAAGAAACGGCGACCGGGCACTGCTGTAGAAGCGAGTAGGGCGGCCGAGGCAGCACATGCGGCAAACTATGTACCCGGCCGATGTTGTTGCGCCCTGTTTCCCTCCCTGCTGTATGCTATACTCCCTTGTGTATGTCCTTTGTATTGCCTTCGGCCTTTGTGCTTTTTTTCTTTTTTTCTTTTTTTCATGTCCTCCCTGCCCACTCGGCTGTGTTGGGTACCTTGATCTCGCTTTTGCTGTCGCTTTTGTTTTTTGTGCATCTGGCTGTCTGCCCATCTGCCGCCTCTTGTCCTGTTTGCTCCGTTACTTCCATGCCCTGGTGCGTAGTGCCTGGTGCTGGTACGTTACCCTTTGNCGCGAGGGAAGCAGAGGCACAGAGTACGGCCATCTCAGGACCGAAGAGAAAGAGAGTCGGGGAAGCGGCGGTGGGGGGGAAGAAGAAACGGCGACCGGGCACTGCTGTAGAAGCGAGTAGGGCGGCCGAGGCAGCACATGCGGCAAACTATGTACCCGGCCGATGTTGTTGCGCCCTGTTTCCCTCCCTGCTGTATGCTATACTCCCTTGTGTATGTCCTTTGTATTGCCTTCGGCCTTTGTGCTTTTTTTCTTTTTTTCTTTTTTTCATGTCCTCCCTGCCCACTCGGCTGTGTTGGGTACCTTGATCTCGCTTTTGCTGTCGCTTTTGTTTTTTGTGCATCTGGCTGTCTGCCCATCTGCCGCCTCTTGTCCTGTTTGCTCCGTTACTTCCATGCCCTGGTGCGTAGTGCCTGGTGCTGGTACGTTACCCTTTGATGTTTTCTTTAGGCGGGTGTGGGAAGCGTCCTCCTTTATTTTTGTTTTTGTCTCATTTTTGATCGGTTTCCGAGGGCTCTTTTCTCGAACGATCGGTGCGGTACCTGTTTTTTCTTTCTATCATTTTGTTTCGTTTTTCCGAGTGGTTTGTATCCTATTTTTGTTTTGTTTCCCCGCGGCGTCGTATGTGCCGGGTTTTGAGACCACGGGCTCCCCATTTTTTGTGGACTTTAGAGCCAACGTGAGAAACAACAACAACACATACATCTATTTGGTTTGTGTTGGCTACCCCCCACGGGCCACGTGGGCACTCGCATACAACAACACCGTCGTGCTTTGGATATTTCAGCAGTTGAACATTGGTCGCAAGGAATCCCAAATCCCAGGTCATGCTGTCTATTGTTGCGAGCATACATGGTCGTTCATCCTCGCCACCCCGAATATGGGGGTGCGGAAGAGAGGCATATCGCATAGTTGAAAAGCATTTTTCCACACAGTTATTATAACTAATGGCAATACGTCAAAACCTAGCTCTTAGCCCATACTGTTTTCCTGGCGCCTTGATCGAATTCCTAGGCTATTTTGAAGATATTTGGGAAGGGTCGCAGGACAGCGAAGGGAGCAACGATTCGCTCGACGGCATAGACAATATCGGGATCGATCTCGACGGAGACTTTTTGGTGGACGACGACGACGCGTAGCTCACGTGCGTTGGTACCCGGCCATTCTATTTATGCTGTTAGTGCGGTGGCTTGGGCTTTCGAGTCGATAAGAGTTTGCTGTAGCATGAGCTGTAGACTATTTGTGCCGTGGTGTACAAAATATGTACTGAGGTACACAGTATTACGTGAAATCGCCCCTCCTCAACAGACGAATTGGTTCATTGCACCAACGCGTCGAGGAGGCAGCTTGTCTTTCATGCCCCTGTACCTTTTGTCCGCCCCGGAGCTTCATTTTCCCCGTTAAAAGGTCGTTCGTTCCCCGGGGCATTCGCAAAGGCAAAATACGGTATTCGTTGGGTCCGTCTTTCTCTTGTGGAATCGAACCGACAAACTCTAACTTTGTTTTATCTTTTTTTTTTCCACAAAGTTAACTCTAAGACTTATTTCTCTCCCCGACGCAGCAATATGTATCTCGTTCCAATGTCCCTGTCACAGCTGAACGGTGGAGTCCACGTCATGACCCAGGGAGGCCTATCTTAACGGGGTGCAGCCGCGTTCGGCTGTCCTACTCGTACAACTTTGCTTATTTTCACGACTTGTTTCGGCCGTGTACGCCTGCACCGTCACACAAACCATGTGCGCCGTGTATTTGCTTTGTTTCTTCGAAAGTGTGTCGTACAGCCTAGTTGAACACTTTGGTGTGTGGTGTGTATGTGTGTGTTTCGTTGTTGTTGGGTTGAGGCACTAGGTTATGAACAGGTGTGTGTGTATGTGTGTGTGCTTTTTTAAGGGGGCGGGAGGTGGTACGGTTGTTTTGGCAGCACTGACGACGACGACTGCAAGATGACACGATACAGAGTGGCCCAAGCTTACACTAGTACTTCAAACTTTCGGAAATGCACCATCGAACAACGTAGATGGTATTTGGCGTTGAAAACCAAGAGAAACTTCTACTTTGTCAACCGCCAGTCGCACATGTATCGCGCTCAGCTTAGGTGTGGCCATCATGTGCTCGCAGGTACACAAGGAACAACGGGGTGGCCTGCTGTGCCGTTGTTCCCCAGCACGGAAGAATTTCAAACGTGGGGCGTCTCTCCGAGACATCACAATAGACCAACAAGACGTCAGCACGGACAGGGGTATCGCTGGTAGTGGCCATGGGAGACAAACACACAGAAATTTCCATTCAGTTCAAGAGCAAGTACTTCCGGCACTCGCATACAATTGGGCTTTTGCTATGCAACTTTTACACAAGCACACCTACAATTCTAGAGAGCACCATCACGCAAGGAAAAGCAAATCGCAGGCTTGCGGCCTTCGTCGCCACCCCGCCCTGTTACCAATATAAACCACGCCTCAGTAGAGCTACATTCCCTTCCGCGGTATGTAGCGCGGGGGAGCATCACAATCCAGTCAGGTGCATGTTTCTTTAGCCATCGCCCTCTGGTTTTGGTGGGCTCCAGAAAAGTCAACCTCGGCTTGAAGGCCACTCCCGTACGCCCGACCCACATCGCCTGTTTCAAAATGGCGAAGGCGTGTGTTATGGAAATATTGGCTAATGTCCTGTACTAGTCAATGTTCGGTAGCATTGCTCTCTATCGTAGATCATGCATCGTAGGTACTGTATGTTTCGGTTCATAGGTGACGCATCTGTGTGCGGAGGAATTACTGCTGTAGCGTTCTCTGCTCGAGGGATCGCATGTCTCTCACTCTCGCATGAATCTCTCGCATGAATCTCTCGCATGGACTTATCTGGATAGTCATGGCTCTTGGCTTTCTTGGTCATCTCTAGGAACTGCCGTCATGGCTCTTGGCTTTCCTGGTCATCTCTAGGAACTGCCGTCATCTGGACTTCTGCGTTTTTTGTGGATCTATCTGCGTGTGTTGGCCATCTAAGCGCCAGTGTTCAACATATCTTCACGTCTCTACACAGCACAAGTACTCCTACTTCTGCTCCTCAACCGCTCGCGGTGCCAACCATCTCGAGTAACATCGAGAGGCACAGCCTTGCCCACTTGTCAAGGGTACCTCATGCGATATCCACAACAGCGTGCTTGTAGGGTGGGCTCGTCACGACCCAGTCCGGACGCACCGTTTCCTCGACGTACGCCTCGACAAAAGCGTCTGCGGCGGCGTCCAGGTGGGTGTCTGCGACCAATCTGAGGGTAGGGAGGGAAAGGAAAAAATAGCGTCGCCAACGATTTCAAGTTTTAAATTGAACGTAAAAAAATGGACATTTGCCACTTGATTTGTGGCCAGAATCATGGGTGGGCCCTTTTCTACACTGCCGTATGTGTGCTTGAGCACAGCCTACCAACGTACGCGAAGATATCGAATCCAGTGCTTGGTTGCGCCGAAGCCCGCCTAAGACACACACATACGTTGTTTGTTGCAACACGGAGACCGTGTGAACTCAGGACCGTGTGGAATGCGTCTTGGGCGGCGCCACAGCAATCGAGTACCCCGCCTTCCGGCTCCACGTGTTCCAGAAGAGCTCGCACCTGAATATCGCGAAAGCACCGTGGTGGATGCTTCATCTGTTTTTCTTGCTACTGTAGATGGTAGGTGCTACCTGGCAGAGGGAGTGTGCGGGCAGCAGAAAAAAAATTGAGCGGCGCTCTGCAGTACATATACTTCTTCCGATGTCTTCGGGGGAGCGGTCTAGGCTCTTCTCGTAACGCGGAGAGGACCTCAAAGACAACGACGCACAACGGTGTATTCCTCGTACTTACCACTGAGAAACGTGAGAAACAGCAACAAAGGCTAACCGAACAACTGTCACTCAACTAGGAGCAGGGCGAGGGAGACTTGTGTTGAGATATGGGCCGGGCACCGCCCGGCACCATGCCATCAACAACAGCACATGGCGACGGTCGAGATCCCAGAAAAAAACGACAGGCATGCGGTCACGTGGGAACGCATAACACATAAATCAAACAAGAAATAGGGTTGTTTCTACGAATGGCGTCTTCGCGCGGTCTAGAATTCGCCCAGAGCCATGCATATGATACAAATGAGTGACCTACCGTAAGGATGCGAGAGAACGCACATTTTTATAACCGCTATTGCTTCACGACAATGAGGGTGCGAGCACCAACCGATACCTCTCAAGAAAGCCCTCAACGTGATACATCCAAAACTACCCTTTTCGGCAGTGGCACCCTCCTGGTTGTGAGAAATCACGCTATGATAAATGCTGACACCCCCGTGCGTTCTCTTGCATCCTTACCATACACTGCTGTAGACATAGGTGGTGTATCTGCGGCATCATACCTGAGATCCCGTCGAAGGATACCGGCCCATCGGCGACCGCTGTTCAACCACCATTTGTACAAAGCTCCTTCTTCTTCTCCCTCTTGAACAAGTCAACTACGCAGTCGGTCCGGGAACAGAGCACTCTCCCACCTGGAGAGGGTTCCCTGTTGAAGATCGCGATCATGACGCTAGGCTGACCCAATACTCGCAGACCACTCGCCCGGCCCCGCCCATGTTTGCGAGTCCTCCACATGCTGCCAACTTACCGAGCACCTGTCGCGGCTACCCGGACGGTCACATGCGAAGCACCGGCGAAGCTCCCGTGCTGCTGCCGCTTCTTTGCCGTGCAAAGCTTTCCCGCACGCCGCACGAGGCGCGGCAACCACTGACCATTCTGCAGAAAACCCTTGAACATGGGGGTATACAGCTGATCGCCAAATCGTCGATTTTGGCGTCCACAGACAAAGATCGAAGGGGATACTACAGCCGAAGTAAGTACAACACCTCAGCTACACAACGCACCCTCTGAGCGCGGAAGACCCGTTGCTGGTAACTAACCTGGGCTTGGTGCGGCTGCTGGACCGAGTTGCTCCGCGTGTAGGAGCTCTGACGCGAGGCGGATCCGGTTCTACGCACAGAAAGCTAACAAACCCACACAACTTGCACCGACAGCTCTTCCACGAGTAGCACAACAGTAAACCGAGGTTAAATTCTATCTGGTGCCCACGACGAGGCTCCTACGGCTCTGTGAACACACGGCCTGCTGTGGCCTGCCTGGGGGGGCAATGGAGAGGTTCAGGGGGGGTCGCACAAAAACGAGGGTGTACCAGCTGCGAAACCTCGGCGTACTTTTTCAGCCGCCACCATCGTCCATGCACCGGACCTCGTGAATCGATTCACCCCGTTCCTTCTACCCTACAACAGTTCATCTTCTAGCGGATCGTTCTTTCTTCGACGCCACCCGGCTCGTGGCCATCCGGTGCTGCGGAAGGAATTACCCAAGAAAAATAAAAAACTAAAAAACTAAAGCCGATTCTGTAACATTGCGGACGCGGAGGGAGTCGGCGCGTTCGGGGGCTCCGCAAGCTGGAAACGGGCCATAGTTTAACGCAGCGTCGATGCTTCGCTTGCTCGTCAGGCGGACACACACGGCAGACCATGGCCTCGCTGAACCCTCCCATCGCTGACGATCTGTCACAGCTGGCGCTCCCGAGACATGCAGTCATTGTGAGCTCCTCCACAGGGTCCGGCGGCCCCGAAGTGCTCTTAGCTCGACGAGATGGAATGCACCTGGATGTGAGCAAGCTGGCTGATTGTTCACTTTACATCGCCTTGGCGAAACCTCTTGCCGTACTCATCGCGACCGCGAGTGCTTCTTCTCACGCACCAAAAGCAAGGTGCTGCCCTAGGAAAGTGAATACTATAGTCCATCGAGCTTTTTTTACCCTTCCTTGGGGATGGCACATGGGGCCCTGTGCGTGCGCAGAAGTTGAAGTTGATGTTTGAAAATGTGAAATGTGAACCAAGTTCCCCCGCAGGCCCACTACTCTCCGCGTGTTGATCTCCGGGCTTGATCATGGCTTCCAAGAGTTTTTGCACTTGCTCCACCACCACTCTGTGTGTAGCATGCGAGAGTGGCTGACCTGCTGTTCGGTTCGTGATGTACCGCGATATTATTCCAGCCAGGCCCACTCCTCCAGCGTTGATGGTACAACAAGCTGTGGACGGAACAACCGAGAGAGCAGTGGCAGGCAGTGGTCCTACACTGTGGTGGGGACATTCGTTGCCAACAGCCCCCATCTTGTCGCTGTCGACGATCCCCTCTGCTGAGCACTAACACCAAATTTGTTCGTCAAGAAAATCTGCTTGCTTTCTTCACAAGAAGTCCCTCATCGCTCTGTTTCATGTCTCGGGTTTGCTCGAATGCTTGCCTGCTCGCTTTGCTCCGTCGTGCAACAATGCGAAAGCTGACCGTCCCAACCGTAGGGCGCTTCCGGACGACCGGAGACGCCTTCCTCACAACCGGCAGGGTCGTGTTCTGCGCCCGCAAGCCGCACGGATCTCAGAATGGTGAGAGACGGGGCGCTTCCAGCTCTTCTCTGTGTTGATGGCCAGCCATCGCCGCCAAGGGCGGCGACAGTACTGCCAGTGTTGTTTGATGTTTCTCGGTAGCGTTCGCTTGGGTTCAAGTATAAACATGTTGGATAAAGCATGCAATCAGGGAAGTTGGCTTTAGGGATAGGGAATGGGGTCTGCGTACTCCCTCACTGTTCTGTTATCCTCATTAACTAGATTCTAGCGGTGGTCCTGTTTTCTGGCTAAGGTGGTCCTGTTTTCTTGGCCGCCCTATGTGAGACTAACGGCTATTGATAGCATGGCATCCAGTCCAGGAAGCACACGGGCGAACCCGTGCTGCTCAAGGTGTGGGCCAAATATTGTCATCATCGTGGCCGGACGGCGCGGCAGCTGCGTCGGCCGCGCCCCCGTTACCACCCAATGTCCTGGTGTTTCGCACCCGAAAGCAGGCAAAGGTGCCGCGACGCGGTCGAGTTGTACTCGTCACGACAGGCCTACCCGTGACCCTCCAACGGTATGTTCAGCTCTGGAGGTACAATATCGGTACTAGACAGAGGTCTGCATCGTTTTCGAATGCCAACAGGCCACAACAACTGGTGTTGCTGCTGCTCTGGCCGTTGTTCGAGCAGGCATGCTCTTCAAGGGCTTTGACATCCCGCTCCACGTGCTCAGCGGCGAGAAGTTCGAGCAGCCCATCCTCTTCGGCGCGAATAACCTCTCTGGAGTCGTTGAGACGAACGTCGCTTACGCAGGTATCAAACGTCTGTGCAGTGGGTAAAGTACCTTGCATTTCATCAAAACACGCTATATTTTTTGCGTAGGCGGGGCGTAGGGACTACCCCCTCCCGACACTACCCCAAGCAGGCACGTCGGTTTGACATGCACAACGTCCTATCGCACAAATTGCGAGCGGCAAATAGCCGGGCAGCACGGGCACCAATCGCGGCTACGGTGACAAGTCTGCGTATCCCACCCGCGACACGAGAGTTCTGAGGTGTCCCCGAGATCCCTCCGAGTCCAGAATCACCCTACCCAACCCTCCTGTAGCCCTTATACCCACACCCCGTGCCCCACCCCAAACCTTGAGAACATCGCGAGAACTATTCTAGACATCGTGGTGCAGGGTAGGTTGGTTTTGGATTAGAATTCCAGACCTCTAGCTCATCTTTTGGCGTACTCTGATTCCGTTAAGAGTACGTTGGAGCGGTACTTTCTGTTGTTCACCATCGCGGGCTTGTCTTGGCAACCAAACCCCGCGGTCGCATCTACCTTCCGCCGTATCGGCGAAAGACCCATCCCGTGTGTAGATCGCGGGGCCTCTCGCGCTCTCTCTCCTCCCTCCCCCTTGAATATTTTTGCAATTCGATTTCACATCTACGCGGTTGTCCGCGTCCAATGCCGTCGACACCGGATACCACGAGGCCATTCCCTTCTCTAGCTCCCATCTGGGGCCACGCAGAATCCCTTAGGAGAATGTCATCTGCAGTCACTTTCGCTTTTTTTCAAGTCCCTCTCCCCCGGCCCACCAATCAGGGCTTCTTCTCCCTCAACGCCTATATAAACACAATCCACGGGCAATAACAACGCTGATGTTGGTGGCTTGTGTGTGGCGGGGTGCTGTTCTCTTCCCTGCAGGTAGCACGACGGGGGCGACGGCGCCTGGCTTTCACGCCACGGCAACGCCCGTCATCAACTCTAGCTGGCGGTTATCTTTCAGGTGTGTTGCAGTGCGTGTGTAGAACGCGCTCTCTCACTCTCAGGAGCCCGGGGCGTTAATGCAACCGCTTGTTTGGAGGGCCTGTTGGGTTCCTCCACCGCAAGATCATGGGCAAGGCAACGGTGCCGGCGCCGAGTACAAGAAGGACGAAACGCTTACGGGGAAGACGTTTCCGGGAATTGACGTGTCGAACACACCTCCTTGTGGAAGGGAGATAGTTGTGGTAACTTTCGTCCGCTGTTTTCTTGGGCACTTTTTCCGCAGCGTCGAACAAAAATCTGCCGGAATGCGTCCCTCTCGGGATGTTGGTCTTCATGAGACCGTATGCTGCACCGTGGAAGTCGCCAAAGACATGGATGTCACATGACCGGAGGCTGACCGACACAAACCAAAGTCTTCACGGTGGAGGTCACCAGCCGGCCAACGGATTTGACTGGACACCCTCTTCTCCCTGTGCTGCCGGCCGCTGCCGCCGGTTCCTTTGCTTGTGTTTTGTCTCCCTTGCATCGCGCTTAGAAATGGTGGCTTCGGCACCTTCCTGCATGCTTTCAACTCGGCCCTCCAGCGGCGGCGCTCGGTCAACCCGTCGGTTACGGCGGTGACATTCGCCGGGTCTGAGGACGAGTGGGCTTCCCTCCAGGTGTGGAAAATCGCATCGCATCGAAAAGAGAGAAGCTTTCAGTTACATAGTTCTGGAAGTGGGCACCGGATAGACGTTATTCGTCCTTTTCACAGTGGTCGACACTGGTGCCGTTTAAATCTGATTAGCCTAGAATCCTCTTGTGCACCCACATGCGGCATGGACTCCTCCTCGCTTACTTAGTTCCATCGAAGGGCATGCTGCTGCCAGCTTTCCGTCGGATAAGAACTCTCTATTATTGTCCGTGTCATGTCCCCATTTCAGTCGCAGCGGTAGGGATCTCTCAAACCTTTCGGTGTCCTGTGTGCGCTTGTACGCGTTTATTCTTGTCCACGCGACGCGCTCCTTGGACTTGTTATGGAGGGGCTGTGACGGCCGATGCGATTCGAGTTTAATTAGTCAAGGTTGACTAACTTAACGAAATGAATCAAACAGTTTTTGAGGTGCCTGTTTTTTTGTTATCGATTGTTTTTTTGTATCACCCATCTGCTCAAATGGTTAGTCGTCTGTAACAACCGTATTTTTTTGTTGCTCTGGACGACTGCTGTGCCGACAACCAGGCGACGGAAGTGGCCCAAGCGGTAGCGTTGGATCCCACGGATGGTACGGTGTTGCTGACCGCGGCTCCCGTGGCGGCTTCCGCTCCGCCTAGACCGTACGGCGACTCGTGAGGTTTCCGCACATCACTTCTGCTGGGGTTGCTGCTGTTGCTGCTGCAGTTGGTCGACGCCTTGCTGACGCCACCGCTTCCCCTATCAACCTGACGACGACTCCTCGGGTTTTCGTACGAACGCTCTGCTGAGGTAGCTGTTGCCAACCGTCCTGCTCTGCACAGATAAATTAATTGGCGGTCACATGGATGGGTGTTGACTACGGCAATGCCTTCATTGTACGCACTTTGGTGAAGTGTTTCGTGTTTTGTGAAATAGCAACTCTCGACGAGTATCCTCGTCGTTGCCTGTCTGAAGCTTTTATACGGTTTTTCAGCGGGGAACGTTGATAGTGCAGACAGCCACTCGCTCGGATCTCACCGTGAGCAGGGCATCACTGTCCCGAAAGGTGGTGAAGTACGGTGCCTGTTTGGAGGATTGCTAGTAAGAGACCGTGAGCTACGGTTCTTTATCATGTCCACGCAACCGACCTCAGCATCAACGACGGTCCCAACGCTGCTCGATTGTCGCAAGATACTCTTCGGTTTTGGCGGCTTGTTCGACCGAAAATCCGACCTGGGGGAAGATCATGAACGTCTTGTTATCCATGGCCGTCATTTCTTGAGAAAGACTCCGGGGTAGTTGACGGGTCGTGCCTGCCCATGTGCTGCTGCTGCTGTTGCAGCTCTGATCTACGAAAAGCATGCGGTTCTCCAAAGAGGCACACGCATCGTTATGATGGCTGTCTTCGCTCCCTCTACACAGGGAGGGTCTCGCCAAGGGGGCGAACCTCAAGTAAACCATACCATGATTTATCACTCTTTGTTCCATTCCATACCGTGTTTTCTCGGGAATATAAAAAAAAAAAACGTGAACGAACGCCTTCATTCCCTCTGTGTGAAGCGCAGACAACAGTCTGTGTGTTGACGCCAACGCCGTCTTCATGCACTACTTCGCCCTTGGCAACTCTTGACCAAAAAAACAAACACCGTAAAGGTCAGCCACCAAAGAGCGACCGGCATGAGTGCCACATGAACAACCCGCAAACAAGCCTCGTAATACAGGGAAATAATAAAACGGCACGTCCTTCGTGCAACACAACTAAACGACAGGCCACGTCATCGTATCCACCCAGAGCAGTCCTCTGATACTCATAAACGTGAGATTACGCAATGTTTTCCGTCGATGTGATGGGGATACACGTAGTACTGACCACGCACGCTAACCTCGCCCCCTTAATCTAACGGGAGGTGAGAGCTCGTCTCACCGGACACATACTCCTACGTACGCGCAACACGTGCAAGACGCACCTTCGTCGAGCACCACAAAAATCACTCATGTCGAGCACCATCAGCATCGGCTACCACCCTCGCGCATATCCGGTCGCCCCGGTGGTCTAGTGGTACCTTGTAATCCGCTAGTCGCAGAGGTCGCGACTTCGAATCCCCATGGGGTGAGAAATTTACGAAATTTGCGGGTGAAAGCGAAATATAGCTAAAAAAAAAGCTCTCGTGAGTACCAAACTTCGACGTTAGCACCGTTGACGAGGGAAAGGGACGGCTGGACCCTTCTCGCGATAAAAATAAAATTCAGCACGCACCGCAGCAGGAAGGTGGGGCATGAAAAGAAATAAGAAGGAGAAAAAAGCCCTGGTGTTTACCCCCCTCCTGTGCCTGCGTGACCCTGGATGGTTGTAGTTGTTCGAAAAAATACACTGAAAAGTGTAGTACTCTACATACGCTGAAAAATGTAGTACACGTCTGACCACGAAAAAAGGGGGGACTGTCGCCATAATAAATAGGACGAAAACACACACAAACACACACACCACCCTCCCTCCGGAAGACAGAAGTGGGGTGCAAGCTCTCCTTTCGAGGACACGCCGCCTAATCTAACCACTTGTTCCCCCGCTCTTCCTGCAGTTGCGGCTGTAGCGGTACCAGACGATTCCACAAAATACGACATCCCTATCGTCCCTCCCGCCGGAAATCACCACATTTTGGACCCGTGCCACATTTTGGTGGCACACCCCACTCGACAACATACGCCATTAGACACCACCAAATAGGCCCCAACGAACACCACATCCATCCGACAAATGTGCAAGTCCTTGCCCCACGTTACATGCATCCCAAAAACACGAAACGACCAAACAAGTGCGCGCGCGGGCGTTGGGCTCGCCGCTCTAGTCTTCCCCCGACATTTCTCTCGCGTGTTGCATGAGACTTGAAAAAAACGAAACACAAGACTTACGACAATCAAACACTTGAACAAAAACAGTCTTGTGCGTATGCATACCCTTACACAACTTACATGAAAGGAATCCCTGAGACAAAATAATACGTTTGCGTACCCGTAGCAGCTATTTGGATTGGGCGGGCTGTCGCCGGCCGACAGCGGGAAAGGTCGCAGTGGAAACAATGGAGCTCCACGTATAAGGGGTCGCTTCGCTCACTCTCTGGAGCAAAGCAGTCATCTGACGATAAGGCCCGTCACCAAGCACACTAACCTACATCCAATACACACTCAATATTCCAGCAGGAAGGCGGCCTCGCTTCCCTACCCACTCTCCCGGCAATGAATCGCGCGGGGGGGGGCGGCGGGTGGGGGGGCGTACTCTTATGTTTTGCACGCCATAGCGATTGGACCACTGACCACGCGTCCTCGAGAGGACGGAGCGTTGTTCCCACAGGACCGATCACCGATGGCCAATCGTTCCTTCCTTTGTTTTTTTTTGGGGGGGGCTCTTACTTCTGAAGCAAGCATACGGTAACGAAGGACTCCACATGCAGGGTTTTGGCCGGCCCAGGCTCAAGCCTCGCTGATATACCGTCGTTCTGGCCGACCGCCACCCCATGTTCAAACCTTACACCCATCCTCAATCTTTTCACAATGCAGCCTCTGACACGAGGCGGGCTACAAGTTCCAGTAACAACAACTCAACACACAAACAACCACGAGAGCATTTTCATCAAACTATACACCGACGCCCAACCATAACGAATCATCTATTGCGACCCCCCCCGCCGCGTACCCCCTCGAGTGTCCGGCATCGAGAGATTCGATATTCCGTCCGCTCGCGGTGGTCAGCTTCATCAAATCTCTACCATATACCACCGAATATATCCATGCTTGGTACACGTTAACAAAAGGGAGTCAATTCTCCATTTCAATATAACACAATCAGACTGCTATCGAATGACTCCCTCCTTCGTTCTGCCTGACGGCGTGCCTCTTTACCAAGCCGTCAAGTCCGTTTCCGGTGTCTCCGGCTTGGGCATCACGGCGCACGTGAGTCCGCCACAAGCAGGTGGCCACAATTTCAAGCAAGCCTATTGAGAAAGGCAAGGGGAGCATCATTCGACGGGAGCAAAAAACTGGTTAATACCGATGAAATTACATTAACCCTGGCGTGCGCAGGAAGAGGTAGAAGTCCAAGTCGGTAACAAGGGCTGGGGAAAAGGTTTCCATGGGCGCGGAGGCATTTTTCCAGAGCCACGCACTCCTTCCGAAACTGGGCGGCATCGATCCTACTGCTACTGGAGGCGCCACCATAGCGCTCTCTAAGTTGAAACGGTGGTAATGCTGCAGCACCTCCAACGTCCGACGATTCGTGGGAGAGAGTTCGGGGATCAGGATATAGGTCGCTCAATCGATCCCCTGTGCTGTGGTGCCTATAGTTCCTTGTATTGCGGACTGCTACATGAGTTGGCTTGCTGCCGCGCGAGACAGATCGATTGTTCACTTGCCGTTGCGGAAGCACAAGCTACCAGAAACGCCCATCCGACGGAAAGAAGAAAACACAATGATCAATCATCGTGCGGCACGGGTCCCCAGTTTAGAACAGCCGAACTCGGATCGAGGTTGAATTTCTTTTATGAATACGTACAGGATAATATACAGACGTCCAGAGTAGCATCCACCGCTGAGCAAATACTCTAAACAAGCTGTATTTCTTCACCCTATTCTCTCACGTTTCGTCATCACTCGAGCCTCTAGCACATGACGGACGGTACAATTTCTTCGCTGCGGGCCCGATCCGCATAAACACCACGCGCACCTGCAGCAAGCCCGCTCACACCGTCACCAAGATGCTCGCCAGCAATCGCCGGTCCTGCACCAAAGTGTAGGCCGTGTAAGCGCTCGCGATCGCCGCCATCGAATTCGGAAACAACGTTACCCATTTCCTCGGCAAGTCGTCATCTTCCCGTGGTGTTAAGCTTTCGCGGCGGCGATACGAGACAGGAGACGCGCATCACAGAAAGGACGGGCGAGTCAGGAGGGGGGCAGCGGAGAGGTGTTGCCGTCAGCACAAAATCAAAAGACGTCAGTCTAACTGCGGCGAAAAATGGAAAACGATTCTAATAGGCCTTAATCTGGGGTGCTAGGTTATTCCCAGAATCCGGTGTGTTTATGGTGTAGCATCGACAGCGCTGACAGGTTGACCAATCAAAACACGTCCGTCTTTGTGCCCCAAGAAACGGAAAACACTTTTTTTAAAGGTCAAGCGTATGTTTACAGGTGTGCTTGTGCCATGAGAGCCGACCCTGTCATACCTCTGGCTAGAGACTTTCATCCCACACCCAGGTGACTATACAGTATACACCAAAAATGTATGGCGTTGGAAACACCTCATCTCTGCAAGAAATGCCCGAAAACATCGACAGCGCTGACAGGTTGATCAATCAAAACACGTCCGTCTTTGTGCCCCAAGAAACGGAAAACACTTTTTTTAAAGGTCAAGCGTATGTTTACAGGTGTGCTTGTGCCATGAGAGCCGACCCTGTCATACCTCTGGCTAGGGACTTTCATCCCACACCCAGGTGACTATACAGTATACACCAAAAATGTATGGCGTTGGAAACACCTCATCTCTGCAAGAAATGCCCGAAAACAGTTCGTCAAAACGTTTGGTGTTTCGTCGCGCTCTTCATGGCAAGACCGAATGAGCAATGCAAAGCGATCGGTGCTGGTCATGAAAATGCATGCAGTAGTCGTAAGATCGTAAACTTCGCATCCCTAAACGCAGGGACGGAGGTGGTCATCATCCTTGCATTTGCTGTGCCAAACCAGACATGCCATGGGTTGATTGGGATGGATCGGTTCTGGGGGGGGGGGTGTACTCATAGTCGTGCATGCCGTAGTCGTTAGACCATTGACCTCGCATCCCTACAAAGCCGGGACGGAGCACGCCGGGTTCTCACCGGACCAGGCTCTCACATCACCAAGCGCGAAGCGCCGTGAGATATTCGGCGAGTCGCATGAAGGGTGCGCTGCATCCTGCTAAGGGTGTTCGGCATCTTGTGCTTACTTCCTTGCGTACGGATGACAGCTGCGTATGAATTAATTTATTTTCTGGTGCTTTCACTTCCAGAGACAGTTGTAAGCACTGTGTAACTGCCTCGAGGGTGCTTGACCATTTTAACACAACGTGGTGCGATCATCCCCCTTGCGCGGAGTGAGGGTTCTCCACCCCGCACAACATGATCCACTCGACCACCATCATGGTTCCCGCCAAAAAAAAAAAACAGGTAAAAAAAAAACCGGTAACCTGGTTGCCGAGTTCACGAAGTGAATTGGCTTGTTTTACAACGTCGTTGCCAAGCGACGAAAACCCAATCCCGATGGCAAACACCGGGGGGGGCGGCTTGTTTTTTTTGGGGGGGGAGCTAACTCTACTCCATGCAGTAAAATAACATAGGAGGCTTTCTTCTCACCTCCACGTGACGATCCACACGTCAGCCGCCGTCAGGAGAAAGCAAGTAATTATCGCCAGGATTCCGAGCGGGAGGTTTACGTCCTCAACCTTGGTCATGAAAAGCCTCGCGGACATCGCAACCCCGGCCAAATAGACAACCCATTGGAAGCCTGGCAACGAGCAACACAAGGTGCTACAGCAGGTTAGCGTCGTCAAATGGTTCACAGAAGACAAGGACGAAGAAGGGCTACGGTCGCGACTATCTACAGCAAAGAGGATTATTTCAAGCTCGGCTGCGCCAGAGCACGCTTCCAATCAAAGTTGATTTCGATGCGCTGCTGCCCAACGACGCCAGAACATGCTCCAACCATCGGCCATTTCCATGTATTCAACTTCAACTGGGCCAGAGGATGCTCCCAATCAACCGCTCTTTACATGTTTTCCAGCTCGACCGTGTCAAAGCACGCTCCCAATCAAAGGGTATTTCCATGTATATTCCAGCTCAACCGGTCAAACATGCTCCTATCCGAGGTGATCTCACGCACGCCGTATCGTACCTGGATAAAACGTAGATCCGAAGAAAAAGGCCACCCCATGCGTGACCAGTAACAGCAAGCCTGTGAACTGAGGGTATGCATAGAGAGGTGGAAAGCATCAGAATTAAGGGGCCGGACAGCAGTAACAAAATACACACAAGAGGCGATCGTCCACCAAGGACTTGTCGGCGGCTCCAACTCCAACATGCCTCTCGCTCAATACGAAAAGCCACGTGCGAGGGCACAGACGAGCGAACAGACACCTCAGCAGGACTGCCACGCGGTCGTATGGAGTCCTCTTCCACTGCAAGCAATCTTAATCCGGAGACTGGATGCTGTCGTCCAAGGACTCGCACGCGTTTTCGCTTTTCATTTTCCGCTGCAAGAGCGACATGGTTTCATTGGCCAAGTCAGTTATAATAGCAAGGTCTTCGATACCAACCAAAGAAACACACAAGCAGTGCCGTCACAAGCAACACCGAAATCCAACCGAACGACTAGCTGACACTTCCACTGGTTAGACTTAGCTGACTCAGCGCTCACGGCACTAGTGCCGTTTACTCCAACCCGTGGTCACACAGAAGAGGCCCTCTCTACCCTCCCCTCCTGCGGTACTTTGCCTTCGATTTTTTATGCGAGAAGAGTTCAGCACTCTCTTCCCTCTGTGTACACACGAACTAGCGCTATCCACTAGGCCAGGAGCGGAAGCGAGAAGAAAGCTCACTTTGCATGAAAAACTCACTTACGCCGGGATTCGAACCCCTGACTCACAGGATACCATTCAGAGGAATGCGGAGCAAGGGGGGAAACAGCCAAGCACAGCCGAGACGTAGCACCAAATACCGAGTCTAGCAGAGACCCACCCGTCTTCTGTCCTCCAAGATGTTGCTGGGGATGTGGATCTTTGCCGCGTAGATGCTCACAACACCCGCCGCCAGCTGCGGCAACGCCCGCACCCAATCAGCTTCGAGGTCCAACCTGCTCTCGTACGGGCGGGAGAAGAGGAGCGCGAGGTAGCGGTGCCGTTTTCATACTTGCTGATACTTTTTACTATAATAGTCTCATCTATTCTGGCGCCAATCTTTATGTACACGGTTGGTGTATTCTCGACCTTGAATCAGCCGGGGTTAGTCACACAGGAGGACGGAAAGTCTACGGTATCCTTTTTTTGCCCTTCCGTATCGTAGTAGGTTGGTGTTGTCGGTTTTTTTTTTTGTTTTTTTCATGCTTGCTTACAAGAAGCATCCATGAAATGCACCAAGAGGGCTACGTCCCAACTACACGAAGCATGCTGCTGAGTTGCCGGGTTCGAGGTCGAGAGCATCAAGTGTCCTCATCTCTGCATCGTGACGCCTCGCACATGCAAAGCACAATAGCCGCAGCAGTTCACAAGCAGCAGCAGCAGCAGCAGAGGCAACAGCAGCGGCGTCTCACTCACCACACCCAAGCCCAAAACAGGTCCACCGCCGCAAGAAAGAAGCAGCAGACCATCACCATCTCCTGGTACATCGAGTTGTCCGCGTCGCGGACGAAGAACATCCTCGCCGAGACGAGGATGATGATGCCGCGAGCTACCCAAGACGGGATCGCGCCTAGCAATTGTTTCGCGTCCATTCGTGAAATCGTTCGTCGATTCGTCGGTTAGACCGTTTGGTCGGCGGTTGGAATCAGCATCGAATGCAGGCACAACGCTAGAACGTCTCCCCACGCACACGTGGGCTGCCCCACAGTCAAGTCGTCTTGGCCTTTGATTTGATGCTCTCAAATAATTTCCTCCGTTAACAGAAAAGACCCACCGAATCCGGCGGCGGGCGCCCAACCGATTTTCATGGCGAAAAGCCTCTTTTAGTCTCTCCCGTTACAGCTACGCATGTCCAACCGTCACGTTCTCTTCGCCTCGTTGCTTGCCCCTCCCATTGAATACCATCGCGGAATCTTTGCTGTTCTTTCCATTCCCCTCTCTATCATTCTGCTACCGCGAAACTCCTTCACATTTCTTTCTCTATGCCGCTCCCTTTTCCCGCCGTCGCTGCCCCCATCATTGGAGGAGACCCGTGGTATCGTACAGTCCCGTGCGTTTCCGGTGATGGCCCCTCATGTCTAGTGTACGTCCAACGGCCCTACGACCTCGCCTCTCCGAATGAAGAGCTACGTTCAAATACTCAAAACCAACGCGTCCCCCGGAGCACTGCAATAAATAAATCGCGCGTGGATAGCCCTGGTCCTGCACAGTGGGTGAACCTAATCGCTCGTGTACCCTCGAATATCGCTTCCTTTGCTGTTGTTGGAGGGAACTTCTGTACTGATTAACTTGAGTACCATGCATGGTACTGCTGCGAACCTCACCGAGCACCAGCAAGTAGGCGAAGGACGTGGCGGCGATGTGCGTCACTATCAGCAGCAAGGCCACAATCTGCGAGGCGAGCACAATCCAAAGCGGGCAATGTCAGATCAGAGGCAAGACCGCTCGGCGACAAAATAGGTGTGCATACCAGATATGTATATATAAGTGGAAACTGCGATCATCGGAGAAAACGTAGGATTGAGAGCAAAACTAACGCAGATTTGATGAAGCGGCAGAAGCATAATATTTCTTACGACCGTTCTGTTTTCCACCCGAATCGCCCAGGGTCATACGACGATTGGGCCAGAATCAGATGCGATGATACATGTATGCTACGATAAATGTCGAGGAGGCGATCAGTGGCGGTGGCGTGCTGGTTCCGCAGTTTGGTGGCCTCCTCGGTGGCCTCGGCAGCTTTCTCCCGCCGCTCTTGACGCACCAATTCCCGCGCATGTTGCGCGGTAGCGGCCTCCTCCGCGTTTAGCGGTGTTGACAGCGGGGGCGCTGTTGACGGCACGCCACTGTTCATTGATGAACAGCGAAGCGCCCCCGCCGCTGCCAACACCGCCAAAAGCGGAGGAGGCCGCTACCGCGCAACATGCGCGGGAATTGGTGCGTCAAGAGCGGCGGGAGGAAGCTGCCGAGGCCACCGAGGACGCCACCAAACTGCGGAACCAGCACGCCACCGCCACTGATCGCCTCCTCGACATTTATCGTAGCATACATGTATCNGAAGCTGCCGAGGCAAACGAAAAGGCCACCAAACTGCGGAACCAGCGCCGCCACCAACCCGCTAACTACTCGACGCTCGCTCGCCCCCAACACGCCCACTGCGACACTGCACGCTTGTTGGGTGCTGTGGGTCTGTCTGACCACTTTTCTCCTCCTGATGCCCACCGGCGTGTTTGAGGGTTCCCTTGCTAGCCTTTGTAGGGCTTCCAACGCCAACGGCAACCGCGGATGACTCCACAACGGCGGTATTGTACGCCCTCCGTCCCGGTGCCGCCGACAGCACCACAGGGAGAACTGCACGCGTCAGCCTCTGGCATGCATGTACTTCGCCCAGCGCACGTCAACTCCACTTCTGCTACCTCAATAACCCCACCAATGCCGACAACCGATGCTGCCGTCGGCTCTCCACATTCTAGCGCTGTTAGCCACGCCCCGCCTAGTACGGCCACCCCAACACAAGAACTGCAAACGTCTGCCACGGACACACACGAACTTCGCGCAGCACACGGCAATAACGCCTCTGCCTCCGTCAACACCCCAAGCGTCGGCGACAACCGGTGCTTCTACGTTTCTACCAGATGTCGCAACGTCGGCACTTCGAGGTCACCTCCACCTCGGAGCACTACGTAGATATGGCTACAGTCGATCCTGCCGTTTTGCTAGCCGAGAGCGTAGCTTATTTGTATTATATGTCGAGATGTGGGAGAGGTCGGTGAGGCTCCGTATCTTCGAATCAAGAGTTGGTCCCTCAGATGGATTGCTATTTTCTCCCTCTTCGGGTTCTAGCCTCTGCGTATACGTCCCCTCAGGGTTGGGCTAGTGTTACGGTATTTGGAAGGGAAAACGACACAACAGGGTATACCCTGGTCGAAAAGCGACACAACTGGGTACA